AAAACTAAATGTATGGTATTTGGGAATCGTAGACTAGATAACGAACTGCAAGTGAAAATAGGGGGAGCTAATATTGAACGAGTATATGAAATTAAATTTCTAGGTGTCATAGTTGATAAATTCACCTGGAAATCTCATATCAGATATATTCAGCATAAAATAGCAAAAAACATATCGATATTGGCAAGGGTTAGACATATTTTGGACAGAAATGCACTACGTATTTTGTATTCTTCATTGATTTTACATTTTAAATTATAAAATTCATGCTATACGTGCAACCAAAAAAAGATTCTGTATTTCCATAAGTGGTGTAAAACTATGGAATAATTTAAATGTGGACATAAAAAATAGTACTAGAATTGATGAGTTTAAACATAAGTATAAAGGTATGTGTCAATCAAGATACATGCAAGAACAGGTTTAATGATCAATCAGATGGAACATTGTGGGTGTGGGGTAAGAATGTTGCACTCTGTAATAATTCTTTAATATACTACTTGTGTGGCGTAGAAGATAATTATCTATGAATGTAATTATGTAGAATGTTAACACTCTGTAATAATTCTGTAGTATATTACTTGTGTGGTGTAGAGGATAATTATTTATCTAGAGATATTGCTTAGGATTTAAAAGTTGTAAAATGATGTCATGGGGTAGGGCTAGATAAGTCTAACTTCTTCCTACTCCGTTCAAGCATGTACTAGGTATAAGCAAATTGATATTGGATTAGCATTTGTTGGATATAAGTGAAATTACATGTGTTGACATATCAACTGTTTTACATGCTTGAATGAATAAATCAAATCATATCAAATCAAATGGTTGGAGATGCATCAATAACAATTAGTAATAATTTGAAATAAAGTAATCACAAGAATACAGTAAATAAGGTTAAGAAGTACAGGTCCTGTGGCTGTAGTGAGACTAGTACTAACATTACACAAAGCCTGAGTATAAAGGGTTTAATATACTGTATATTAAGCATTTTCATGTAGCGATTTTAATCCAGCCACTGAATTATAGGCCTTATAGTGAAATATGGAGTCTGCTATTATATTTTTGTTTTATTGCTTCAGGATTTTACTAAGGAAATGGATCACATTTTTTCTCATATTAGTGACTCAGGTCAAGTTCAGTTAAGGATCCATTCCAGAGCTTTGGTCTCAAGTCCTCAGCCCAGTGTCTCACCACACATTTCCACTCTGTGTATTTTATGATTTCATCTTTTGTCTGTGATCTATTCCTTCCATTTCATCACTTACCTAAATAGCCTATATTTCCTATATTATCTAGAATACTCCCATTACTATTGGTGCTCACTGAGCAACAGACATGTCTTATTACCTTTCCAAGTGGTTCCCAGGTAAAAGAAAACATTGTGTTCACCGTCCTCCGGGGGAAGGTCCTTCCTCTGTTTATGAGACCACTCGATCCTGAGATAGCAGCTCCACACACTCCAGAGCTAGAATGTTGGTGAAGTGTCTAAACAGTTCTGATTTAAGCAGGTCCCAAAAGTGGAGAAAGAGCAGATTCAAATTATAGAGATGATTGTGTTCGAGTGTAACTGAGAGGAGAGAGTGTGAAAATATAAGGAAACTTGAAGAATTGGCCACAGTACATAAATACTGTATATATACATTTATATATAAATATATGTGTGTGTGTGTGTGTGTGTGTGTGTGTGCTGCATACACGCAATCAGAGAACCTTTCATGCACAAATTGCAGACTTTATATCTTGGGTCAGGTTAACATATACGTGCCCCTTTCCGAGGCGTTCTTAGTGGACTCCTGAATGTCATCAATCACAGCAGCTTAACACCTAAAGTAGTATTTTATGAAAAATGAAGATATATAAAACCCCACAATGACAGCAATATAATGAGCTGCCTTTCTAGCTACGATATCAGCTCTTACTAATGTGTAATTTCAGCTATGATCTACTCAAATAGAACTGTTGACAGGCTGTAATAATATGACTTCAAAATAAAAAAAAGATGGTAAATTAAATACAAAGTCAGATTAGATGATGGAAACCTTAGATTACAAGCTTGAACATGTCACTGAAAAGACCCAATTCATTTCAAAATTTTATTAACTTTACCATATACAGTAACTGCAGCCATTTTCATTAAAGTGCTTGAATATAGTTGGAATTAAGACCCCCCCCCCCATCAGTACTGCAGCATGATTCTACACAAGGGCAACATTATTCTGGGCCATATGAGAATCTGCCTTACATTCGGTGAGAGAGATTGTTGCCCTTGAGGCTGTGATGTGTTCACTTTTCTGCTATTAAGAGAGAGGGTTATTCTTTATGATGGTAGTTCTACTGAAAAAAGCCATCCTGATGATGATGACTGGATGTACAACGCACATAGTTCATACAGTAAATCAGTAGATAAAGCACAAACACGCAGTTCCATTTTTCAGATAATAATTTAAAAATAACATGCTCATCATCATGTTATAGAAATATAAACACATTATGGTCCAGTTAACTCTATGAGCTGAGTGTAAATTATATTGGCAACAAACGGCTCCTGGATAAATAGTTTATTACTCACAGACATTTGTTAGGCTGATCACAACCAGTAGCTAAAACTGAATCACATTGTGTTTGTATGATCACAAAAAGTTAAGATGAAGTCCTGATCAAGCTTTGTATCACGGGCTGTGCATAACTCCAAGACTGATGACAGACTTGTACATTTTAACAAAGGCAACTAAAAGATCGCTTGTGAAACAAGAGGACTGATTTATACTTGCAATGACTGATTTATAGAGGTTTTTTTTTATGGCTGCCTAAGAAGAAAAAGTAAAGTATTTATGATAAAAATTGATTGTTTTTCTTCAATAAATTTTTAAACCTGAGAGCCTAGAGGTTGTCCAAGTCAAAATTACAACATTCTGTCAAGGACAAGGGTGCAAAAGAGTAATGGGTTGGCACCAACTTTGATGTTCTTCTGCCAGAGTGGAATGAATTATTATGTTCCATTAAAGTTTAATGGGACTTCAGCAGGCCTAATATATAAAAAGAGAGCTGCAAGACCGAGCCACTGTGCTTTGGTCCTTCCTTTATAGCTCTCAGCTCTCTGTGCCATCTGGGAGAAGATTACTGGGCATGAAGCTGTCAGAAAAACAGCTTGGTGGACACAATGTCTCCAGGTTTGTATTTGGATTCACAAGCTGAAGCACATTGAATCATGCTGCAGATCACGTTTATGCAAATGTAAGCACAGCCTTTGATGCTAGAGTGTCTGTTTTTGCCAGGAGCACAAGACATTTGCATCGGCTTTGCACTTACAGTGTAATTTAGAAGTGTGTTTAGGGCAGGTCCACATCTTGGAGTCGGAAGATTCTACTTACAGTACGACACTATTAGTGTGTGTGTCTCATTCTGGCCTGCAACCCTTAAACCCCTTTGCTAATGTTCTTCTGTCAAATGGCAAAATCATCAATCCAGTCTAGTTAGTTTCAGTCTGTTCATATGTTCACCACTGCAAATTTTTTTGAGTACTGTAAATTTTTGCCTTTTTTTGTATATTTTTGCTTTTTTCACACAATTCCAAAGAATGTTTTAATCGTACAATTAAATTATTTCTTTTTTCCAAACATAAATGTCATATTAACACTGAAAACATATATCATGCAACATAAATGCGGCTGTATTCTCAGTCTGTTACTACTTCTTCTATTACAGTATATTCAGTCATAAAAACACTGTATAGGGAGGCTAAAAACAACAAATCATTTTACATGCTGATTCATAATTCACAACTGGTGGAGCCCTGGATGTCAGGGATGGTCGTGGATGCCAAAGGCTGCCAGCGTTGGAAGATGAGCAAAGTTTAATGAGAACCCTGAGGAGTGTGTATATTGAAAATTCCTCACTAATATAAAGGCATTTTCCCTCTTTATATACACTTCTGTTTATTTCTAACAAGAACATTTGTAAAGTCTTTTTTTGGAAGCCGCATTGTTCAGATATCGTCTCTTTCTTCTACTGGCACATTCTCACCTTTTACAGCACATTACCCACGTAAAAGGAAATAATATAACAAACTCACACCTTTGTGTTAAATTTCACTGCTGTTACAACATTTCCAATGATGTAAATGTGTAAATACATGTTCAGTTATTGTAGCCTATCTATTCTAAACAATTGTTTTACATCACTTAGGTCAGGCACTTTTGAATCCTTCCGAGGCTCCTTTATCTACTGCAATTCTTTACACGAGTGCTTCTGTATGCCCTGCCTCCTGGTGTGCTTCATTTACAAAACATTCAGAGGCAGGCAATCTTTAACGTGTAAGGCACAGCGGCTTGGTGTTGTTGTCTCAGAATTGTATTACAAACACAAAATAAGAGTGAGCATAGCATCATGATGTTTCAGATGATCTTATTGTCTCACAACACAGAAATCTTCAGGACATTCATGACATTTGATTATAAAGTCAGACTGTGTCACTGACATTTAAAAAGCATTTGATCAATGTATTCTTTTTCTAGTTGCCTATTCACACTACAGATGGATTGATGGTTCATTGCTTTTCTGTCACAGTTGACAATAAAAAGCTGATCAGTTATAAAAGCATGAGTGAGATTTGTTACAGTCGTGAAAAGGGAACACAACACAATACATCATACAGAATTACAAAGTGCTAAATGCTGTATTTTCACTGAGACCTTTTTACTTTCAGTGTGCAGAAAGGAGAGCTTTGCTTTGGACAGCACAGACAAACTATTAGATATCTAGTCAGTAACTAACACTGGTACATATTCTGCACTGCTGAAAACAGCAGGATCCCAGAGAGCACACTTATAGGTACATACATCTTTAAGCAGTAACCAAAAACTAACACTTTAGATGTTTCTCTCAATGTCACATTAGCAAGCAGCCAACACTGTCTTAACCTTTACATCGAACACATGCAAACTGCTTTTCAAAAGCTGTGGAATGTGTGGAGGCTGTGGAGGCGCACAGACCAACAGCGCAGCAACAGTTTCATTATGAAATAGAAGGAACATTTCCACTTCTACTCTGTGCTATAGCTCCGGTGCCTGGTGCTTTTCTAGTGCAGAATCAGGAATCTTTTCAATTGAATGAAATATCCTGAACTGGTGTTAGACATTTCAAATACAATATAAGGTGTAGGTATAATGGAGGCACAGAAGTCCTCTTCAGGTCAGTTTTTAAATGAAATACTGTCAGAAATACTGATAATCTCTGCATTAATGACTCTGTGAATGGTTAGTCTGTTTTGTTTATGTTTGCATGGCACATTTCTGACATCAATGCTGAGAAAATGGACAGAAAATAATGCTGGGAGGATGAAAGGTAGCAGGCAAAACAATGAAGACACAGATTTTCACTTAATAAACATCTATGTGTCCATGTGTGGCTGCAGAAGTGTAAAGCCAAGGTGCATCTACACTTTGTGGTCTTAGCCCTTGACCTGCTGTTAGACTACAGTGCTATTCTACGAGATTAATTTTACAGCAATCATTTTAGTTTGGACACCAGAATACACGGGTCTACAACATGGCAATGGTCACACCAGAGTCATAATGTCCTTTCATTTGACTTAGTCTGGCAGCTAGCATGAGCAACAGACCAGTGGCCACCTCCAGGCTGTAGGAGAGCCAGGCCGTGGCTAAGGACCAGCCGAAAGAAACATCCACGTAAGCAAGGTTCTCTGGGGATACGACACGCTGAAACTCCTCCATGGCCTGGTTTGAGTATTTGATGTAGATGCAGATGCCGGCCAAGGTAAAAAAACCTGTTGGTGCACAGAAACAGAGAGACGGCGCCGATGGAGCATGAGGACCTAATCACACACCATAACTGTCATGCTGTACACTTAACACTTAATCAGCTTTCACAATGAGGCCATTAAGGTAATAGTGCATTAATTAGGAAATATTCCTTTTCCAGCATAACTCAGCTGCTTCTAAGCTTCTACACTGTGTTGTTTTAGATTTTCTGTGTTATGAAAACACATGAAATGCCTCGCATAACAATTACCACAGATGTGGGCCAACAAGAATGTCAACCCCAGAACATCTTACAGTAAACACTGAGTAGTCACCACTACAATTCAGGATGACCTTTAGTGTGGCACAATGGAAGGCACAATCCCAATCTTCTGCTGCAATTAACCAGTGTTAATTATTATTCATATGGAATTCTCTTGCAGTATCTCTCAAATAATGTTTAAGGAAGGAAGAAAGGTGAGTGCAAATGTCACGTACAACGCTGAAAAATGCACAGCAGGTTTTGCAGACCACTGTCATAAAGGGCACTCATTTTATTTGTAGGCTATGTATAATTTAATGAGTAATTTATAGCATGTCCTGTGAATTTTCATTACACTTTATTTGCGCCTCGAGCTGCTGCTGCACCAATGCTATACTAAGGGTTTGCTAAAAATCTGTTGTTATCACTTGCAAAGCAATACCAATTTTACATTTGTTTTAAATTTTAATGGACCAAGGCAACTTTTTCCAAACAGTCTTCAGCTGCAGACTCGAAGCTGAGGAAGTAGTAATTATCATCCAGGATGGAAATGGCAGCTTTGCCACATCTGAAACCACATATATACTTGCTTTTACTAACACATACTTGTAGACAAAAGCTATGACAACTGCGTCATTGTTTACATACATACTTGTTTGCATACTTGTGCTCAGGTGGAGAATTAATATCCACCAGGGGGCAAACTAGAGTCTGATTATCCCTGACAGGTGTGTGACATTCATTTCTGAGGATGTGCACAACCAGGCAATGCAGGATAGGTACTTTACCTTGATGCACAAGTGACAGCGCAGCTCTAAGCAGGTATACGGTCAGGTTTACATACACAGAGGCCTACGCAAAGTCCAAAGGAACAGATCATCAGTATTGCGTTACATGATGTGAGTGTTCCTAATGGGATTTTACAGACCTATTTGAAATCCACATAAATCTTGCCCCATTTCTCATACTAACATTTCACACTTCGAAATAGGTTGCTATTGCATTAAATAAGAAGAGGAAAAACAGAACAAAACTGTGAAATCCATTACCCCTTTTGTTTTTTCTGTGCAAGAGCTTAGTGCTTGCAGTTTATGTTTTGATGTGTGATAGCGATGTGGACTGTGCAGGCTGGTCTCTGCTGTGCTACATGGGAGGTTGGGCCTGTCAGCAGAAAAGGCAAAGTATGTAATAAGGCTTTACTCTTCTGTGACCGATTCGTGCTTCACCCTCAGCCTTACCCAGATCAAAATTCAAACTCATTCTCGTTGACCTGCTCAAGTGCATTCTTTGATGGATGTTGTGTTTATTGTGCTGCTCAACAGCTGATCCCTTCACAGTAAAAATAGATATTCCTTCTGGTAGTGTATCGCTGATGCTAGAGCATGTGCTTATTTCTGCCATATAAGAACTATCAGGTCTCCTTACTGTCCAGAGGACTCTCCAGCGCCGTCAAATAGGTTGATACTGAGTTTTATCTTTGAGCTCAAATTCCGTTAGACATTCATTTAAAAAAGAAATTCGATTTTGTCGATATTTTCAGTGAAGAACAAGCCCGCTGGTGATTTCAAGGGGAAGTCTGACTGAACCTTTCAATCAAAAACAAGTTCTTCTGCAATTCTGTGACACCCCGTGATCAGCAATCAGTCCACATGCTGTGATCAATACTGTTAATTATGTTCATTTCCATGCTGGTGCATCAGGCTAATCAGGAACCAGCTTGACATTATGGGCTTTTTTTTCGAATCTGACCGGCAAGTGCTAAATAAAACACTGTCCTGAGGAAATCATTACTACAGACCATCTTTCTTCCGTTAAAGGGAGTTTTTCCTCCCCACTGTCGCCAAGTGCTGCTCAAGGGGGATTTGTTGGGTTTTCCCTATGTAATAATATTGATAACAGTAAGGTCTAGACCTTACTTTGTAAAGTGTCCTGAGATGACTTTTGTTGTGATTTGGCGCTATACAAATACAATTTGATTTGATTTGATTTGATCTTTATTCGCACCATTGCAGAGCATGGCAGTATTTAGAAAAGACTGGCAAAACCATGATTTAGCATATGTGAGCCCCTCTCAGAGCAGAATGACTGTTTCTTTGTGTTAATTATAATTGCATCTGAATGTCTTGAGTCAATCATGCAGTGTCTATTCACAGAATCTGACAAGTGGATTGAGTAAAGACAGACGTGTTGCACAAAACTCTGACATTAGCCTAGAAGTGCTTTGCTTCTTATTTTCTTTGTTTCATTATAAAATCCCCATCTCCAGCTACTCTACTAACAGTGTGAGCAAAATGATAATTGCCTAACTCAATTAAATTGAGTGGATTTTTACTGTTCACATACTGTAGATATGTAACTTTAGATTTGGCCCATAACAGTCTCCTCCAGTCATCTGTGAAATATAATATTTGGACAGCACTAATCATTGTTTTCTCATTTCCATCATCCTGCTGCTAATGATTCTGAAATAATGTTCTAGCAATTGGCTTTAGTAAGAAGTTAGTCAGAATGAATTTCTTCATTTCCCTTTGTCTCCTTCTCACTAGTGTGTTTGTTTTCTTCTCGTATATGTGTGACAGATGTGTTGGTTTTGCCTTTCTTGTGTTTGTGTCGTTTGTCCTCTGCTTAGGTCACTGTCTGGAGGGGAGGTCGTGAGGCTCAGGTCTAATGTAGGTATGTGGAAGCTGCTCAGACTGCTGGATTTCGAGGGTCTAAAAACAGAGCATGTGTATCATGCTGTACAGATTGTAAAGCCCAAACCTGTGATTTAAAATATTGGGCTATACAAATAAACTCAGAACTGATTTCACCTGCCTTCTTTAATGCACATTTACTGTACAATATGATGTGCCACCCACACACTTTTTCTTGCACTGTACATGTTAAGCACCAAAGGATTTGATTCAGACTAGCCTACACGCAGAATACATGTCACTGCTAGAGGTGCAAAAAACAAACAAACAAACAAACAAACAACAATAACAAAACCCAATAACAATTCAGCTTGGACGTACTGCAGAAGAGACAGTAGAATGCTGATCCGGCCAGCAAGTTTGGGCTGCAGGCCAATGAACTGACGAGTCCAAAGATCCAGCCAAACACCAGGAGGACCAGGCTGAGGGGAAACACAATGACCACCACCCTGTGTAAGCCTGAAACCACACAGCACAGAAGCACAACATCATTCCTCTGCTTAAAGATCTTAAAGGACTATGCTGTGGTTTTGTTATGCGGCTTGTCAAACAAGTCAGCAGGATTTTATATTACAGCTCAAAGCAGCCATTTCCAAAAGTAAATGGGGTTTTCTTATTAATCTTTACCATCCAGGGAGCTTTTGGTCTTTCTTTACATTATCAATTGGGCATATAAAATCTACTTAAAGAATTGTTATTGATCACCTTGTTACTGATTTCCACAGTTAAAGTTGCAAGGAATGTATTTTTTGACAACCAATATTTAAGAAACACACACACACACACACCAAATACACAATATACTTTGTGAAATTTCCACATTTACTCAGTGTTGGATGTGATTGTCTCACAGCCTATCTTCTAAATGCTATGTTTTTCCACATCCACGTATTTTAAACCCATTTAACTCCATTTAGTTATCAACTCCAATGTCAGCTGACAAAAAAAAAAGCTCCACTCACTAAGAAGGTGCCTTTCTGCCTCTGACAGGCTGGACGTGTTTGCTGTGAAAGAAGGGATGACCGAACTCCTGTTAGCTCCTGAAAATGTCAAGAGAAAAGGTTAGACGCTGACAGAACTTGTAGACAGAGATGTAGGACTCTGCGAAATGAATAAAAACTATGTGAATTTGTAGAAATATAACAATGCATAATGCGCAATGCAGTCATGTCAGTGCATGTTCCACTTTTGCCAGTGTCACAGGTGAGCACTGAAGAACATTACTTAGCATTTAATCTGTGAACTGCGAGAGCCACCAGCAACCTCCGGGACCTTAAGATGTGCATCCAACATGAACAATATTGGAATCGTGTCGAAAAATACACGTTCTCTCTGAAGCCCCCTGCGTGTTTGCTTTCAGTTGCCTACAGGGCTCGTACATGTTTGAAGGGTTACAGCTGTTACAGTTATACCCCAGAAAGACAGAACAAAGCATCGGCTATGGATACTGCACATTTACGCAGCCTGTATGGTTCATTATTGTTAGTTGGCTTTTTTCCCCCAACTTTTTTATGAGGGACCATGTTAAACATAAATGATGCCGTTTGATGTACTGTGCCAAAGTTAGTTTAAAGGCATGTTTCATCTGCATATATATTTAATAACAGAATAGGCATGGTCGTATGTTCCATTTATTTTTCAAAGCTAAAAGCACTTGAATGTAACCTCATCTGTGCATAAGGATCTCAGAACTGAGATTCACTGCAAGCAGTTTTTGTACCCGAGTTCGCTTCAACGGCGGATTGATGAGATGAAAAAAGAATCCAGGCAAATTTAGCTTCTGTCGTGGACAATAAACGCGGTAAGGCAGCAGCACCGGAGACCAATGATCCACGAACAATGTATGAACAATGGTGGACCTCAACATCATACGCTATAGATTTGTTGTCAGCATCAGAAACGATCAATAGGCTACTGGTTAAAACACGCCCGACCCTGGAATTACCAATATTAGCTAGCAGATCTCAAATATACCATATGATTGAATCTTTAGTGCGTTTTACGCGCAGCAATTAATGCTACATGATAAACACTTCTAAAAATGAGCTTGGCGAAAACCAGCACAAAACTTCTAGGGAAAAAGATGCACATCTAATGTTATTACAGGACACGCAACATACTTGAATATACTGTACACTATCATCTGAACAGAACTCACAAAACTACAGAGCATATTTAGTCTTATTTATATTGCCTACCTTCATTAATTCGCCACAGTCCAGAATGTGAACTCAGGTCGTCTGGACCTGTGTGGTTGGGTTTATTCACATCGATGATGTACCAGTAATCGGTCCCAATTGCCACAGCGAGGAGGCTAAAACTGAACAAACCTGTAAACCCAGCAGAAAGAACTGCCAATCCGTACCTCATTGTATATGGTCCACGCGCAGAGCGCAACTGTCCTACCGGGTTTTGTGCAGTTTTAGTGTTTTTTACACTGTGATCTGTATAGACGCACCAAGATGTGCAATGCGTAAAAGCTCTCCAGCTGGATCCTAAAGTGATGGTCCATGGCTACCACGGCCCAAAATGTGAATTATCCTAAAACTGAAGGAAAAAATCACATTCCACTCATTTTCTCCAGTTTAATTTAAATAGATAAAGGAGGACAACCCAGCTTTTCTCTGCGCCACATTTTGGCCATAACATGACAGGCAGGCTTGTGGCTAACGGCACTTTATGGATCCAAAGTGTCAAGCTATGGGAATAAAACGAACGCTACACATCCGGTCATGTGTTTCAAAATAAATATTACCTGGGATTAAGATGCTTAATAGTTTGTCATGCAAAATAGCCCACATCCGGTTACGGTTTAGTTTATCTGATGTTGACTTGACTGCTTTACTGTAACGTAATTGTAGCATTTCTACAACAGCAACAGTGGCTGCACATGTGACCAGATTTCTATACTGATCCCGATCGTGGTTTGGACCAGACTTAATACCTATAAGCACACCTAATAACAAAAATATAAAAGTCCCAGCGGCTTATAACACAACTGTATTTAAGAAGCACAACTGGTGTCCTCTCTGCAACAAATAATTAATCAGACTATTTGATGGCTATAGGCACCAAAGTCAGCTGTCATACCGGAGGAGTCTTGTAGGCGGGGAAGGATAGCAACATTACTTCACTTCAAATGGAAAAGACCAGGAACAAACAATTATATTGTTAGCCAACTGCTTTGTGGCGCACTGACGTTGAGTCATGCAATCTGGGGTAAGTGTTTTTAACAGTCGACACTTCTTTGTCAGCGTCCCATGGAAAAAAAAAGGGATTTGATGTCACAATACAAACATATTTTTACAAAATCATATAAATTAAGTACAAATGTTCTTTCACCTCTCTCAAGCCAATCTGCTGGGGAGGCACTCTTGGCAACAACCGCAGCCAGGGCCTGTGTGGATAGGTTTGTGAGGCCTATGCACATTTGGACAATACATTGCCCATTGTTCCTTTGTAAAACTGCCCAAGCTCTGTCAGTTGCTTGGGGACTGTGAGTGAAAATCATTTTTCAACTCCTGGCACATATTCTCAATTGGACTGAGGTTAAGACATGGTCACTATATTTTGAATCCATTCCTGTGCTTTATGGCTTTTGTTGTCTCCCAGTAAATATTCTGCTAGGTTTTCTCATAGACTGCATCAGGCTTTCCACATTTTCTGTTCCTATCAGAAAATCTAGCTGCAGCTGTATTTTCAAGCTTGTACTCTGCAGAAATATCTCGACAGTATTTTGTTGTGATGTATGATTTTAAAAAAGGAGGCAGAGAAACGTTCAACATTTAATGTTGTAATGATCAGGTTTAGTGTAATTCCACACTTCTGGATGAAAAAGGTTTTCATGTTGACTGAAAGCAGAGACCAAGAGGTGCATCTACACATTTAGGCTGTTGTACTCTGCATCACACATTTCCCCCGTCTTTTCCAAAACCTGTAGGTACCGACAGCTCACAAATGAAAACACAGTGTTAAAGCCCTGACAGCTGCCTCAGAGGTTTTCAGTCACTAAAAAGTAGGACACAGCCAAAGTCTTCCAAACAGGTTGCAGATGTTGTTCAGAAATAGGTAGATAAGGGTAGAATTGCCTCTGCTGTAACATGTTCTGCATTTGATTGTGGCCATTTTCATAAAAAAAGCCTCATTTTACATACTAACATCAGCCCTCAAGGAGAGGGAGAAATGGATGTGTTAAGTGTTGGATGAGAAACAGAGTTCTTCTTGATCATAGCAATTTTCCAAGTCACCAGAACCTGTGCAGTCTTTTTCTGGTTTTCATTTGTACTACAAATC